GACCCACCCAGGCTGCGAAGGGACGGAGCCCCGCTTGCCCAGGGCTCGCCCGGCCTCCCTTTCCCCGCCGGCGCAAGAAGTTTTCCGAAGAGGCAACTTTCCCTCTCGCGCAGCAGAAGCGACGCACCGCCCGACGCCGCTGGGCAGCCGCCGAAGGAAGGAAGGCCGCCCGCCGGGGCTTCGCTCGGCCCGGATTTCGGAGGCTTCTTCCCGGCAGGAAAAAAAGGGCCGCCCCACCAAGGAGCTCGGAGGCCGGGCGCGCGCAGGGAGGAGGAGAAGCAGCGCAGCCGAGCGAGCCTTTCCGGCAGCAACTGCCGGCAGAGACCCCCGCCCGCCTCCCCCTCGGCCCCGCACCTGCTGCAGCCGCCCCGGCAGGGAAGGCGAACCCGCAACGGACGCAAGCGGCGCCGGCGGCTCCTTCGCGGGCTCCGCCGCCCCGAGCGCCCGCCGCTCACCGGCACAGGGGATGCGGGGCCCGGGGGTCCGGCAGGCGGGCGGGGGCTTCTGCCCAATTGGCCCCGGAGCCCCCCGTGGGAGCAGGGGATGCTGGGCATGGGAATCCAGGTCCCAAAGTCCCCGCTGGACGACCAACCGGAGGGGGGGTGTTTAAGGGGGTCCCAAGCGGGGGGGGGGTCCTGGGGGCGGCGGGGGAGGCTCACCTTCTAGCCCGGCCTGGTCCAGGTGCGGCCCGGGGGCCGAGTGGGGGCTGGGGGGCACCTCGGCGGGGCCCGGCGGCGGCAGGACGAGGCCGCAGAGCAGCACCAGGGCGATGCGGCCCCACAGCGCCATGTCTCCGGGTCACGTCCGCTCCCGCATCGGCAGGTGGCGGCGGCGCGTCCGCTGCAGCTCCGGGCCAGGTGAGCCCCTCCCGGAAGCGGCGCGCCCTCCGCCGCGCTCCCCCGCCCGCGTGGTCCGTGCCCTCCTCCTGCTCCCCCCGCGGCGACGAATGGTCTCTCCCGCACGCCGCTCGCGCACCAAGTCCGGGCAGGCGCCAGGGGCGTGGCCGAGCCCGCCCCTTCGCCTCCACCGGCCAATCGCGGCAAGGCTCGGCCGCGGAGAGCGAGCGCCGGGCCGGCAGCGGCCCCTGGCGGCGGAAGGAGGAGCGGACGCACGTGGAGAGGCGTGCGCGGAGACCCCCAGCGTGGGAATCTCCGGCTGCGGGTCGCGCCCCGCCGCTCGCGGCTTCCTCCTCCTCCTCCTCCGTGTCAAGGAGCGCTTGGACGCGTGTCGTAAGATTGCACGACGCGCACCGGTTGGGCTGGTGGGGGGGGCGTTGAATGGGGGGGGCGACATTGACGCCGTTCTCCCTTCCCCGCCCGGGCTTCGTCCCTAAACAAACTATTTTCCCCACTATTAAAGTCCGTACAACGCGGGTGTCCAAATCCGGCAACTTTGAGAATTATGGACTTCAACTCCCAGAATCCCCCAGCCAGCAAGAACGGGGAATTGTGGGAGTTGAAGTCCAGAAGTCTTACGGTTGTCGAAGTTGGGCATGCATGCAAAAAAACTGGAGCAAAAATGGGCTTTCCAGGCGCCGCCCGGAGGCGCGAAAGGAACCCCGCCTTTCTTTCCCTTCTGTCGGGGAAAACCCCTCGGAGGACCCGCCCCGCGTGGTCGAGACTCGGAAGAAGGAAGTCCCGGAGCTGCTTTTCGGCTGCTTTGTTGCAAATGACAGTTGCCCTCCTTCAGAGCCCCCGGCCGGGATCTTCCCCCCCCCCCGCCCCCAGCGACAA